CTGAAAGAAACCAGAACTGAAATACTTCTGAATTTCCCTAAAACTTAGCCACGAAACATCTCAAAGGCTATATAGGTCTCAGAAAACGGTCTGCTAACAGCATTTACATTTGACATCTCATTATTCCTGGTTGCTTCTTTCAATATGCTGAAATCTTTCGTTATTTAGAAAGCATCCTCAGAGACCTAGTTTGGTCCAGCCAGTTAATGAACGTGCAGAGCCCATGCTAATGCAAGACCTGGGAACCTTCTCCCTAGAGCTGTTCCTTGCCTTCATCTGTAGAGCCAAAGGCTGTGTGGGCCACATTGTTATTTCCCCACCACCCAAGAATGATGTCTCCTGGGGGCTGTGCTGTCCTAGCCCTCCAGATGACCATGTGTCTTTTACTCTTCAGAGAAATTCTTTTTTTCTTAAGATTTATTTATTTATTATATATACAATATTCTGCCTGCATGTATCCCTGTGGGCCAGAAGAGGGCACCAGATCTCATTACAGATGGCTGTGAGCCACCATGTGGTTGCTGGGAATTGAACTCAGGACCTCTGGAAGAGAAGAAGCCAGTGCTCTTATCCTCTGAGCCATCTCTCCAGCCCCAGAGAAATTCTTGAAAGCAAACACCCTTTTACTTGATGATGCACTCCTAGCATGGAGTACATACATCTGAACATCAGTATCCTGTAGTGAGATAAACCCATTTTGTAAAAGAGAAAACTAAACCTTGAAAATGAATAAATATGCCATTCCCAACATCATACATTAATAAATAAGTAGTATGCCAGCCTAGCCTCATCAGAGCTCTCTTCCCTAGACTACCATGCCACACCCCTCCACAAGCGATAGGAGGACTAAAACAAAGATCTTAGATGTGTCCCAGGAACCTGAACTTCAACAAAACCCGCAGCCCCCACCTTCTTGAACAAACACACCCAATCAGCTGTCTCTTTCTCTGTAAAAGTCACCTGGATTGCTTAAAATGAAAAACGCAAGCCATACTCTACTTTTTCTTCCTGTTCTCACATCTAGTCAAACAACTCATTCGTGTGATTATAATGTTCAAACCTGCATGTCTCTCTAGTCTCCACCACGAGTCAAGCATCATCATCCATCACCAAGACTTCAGAGGTACCAGCTACTCAATCTCCAGATTCAACTTGGTCAAACTTTCATCCAATTTCTTCTCTGTCTTTCAAAAATGTTCATCATTTATTATTGCTGTGTGTGTGTGTGTGTGTGTGTGCACAGCCTTGAGCTCTCGAGCATCTTCCCATACAACAGCACACATGGACATCAGAGGACATCTTTCAGGAGTCGGTCTTCTCTTTCCTCCATGGGTTTGAGGGAATTACTCAGGTCCTCAGGCATATATGGCAAGTGCTTTTTACCCACGGAGCCATCCTCCTAACCCTACGGTGTATTAAATATAATTTCATACATGGCATTCATCTAGCTAATTAAAGCGCTTCCTAAATTCCCATTACCCTGAGGATGAAGACCAAAATCGCCTTGTCATTCAAAACTGCCCAGGCTCCAGCCTCTCCCATCTCTTCCAGCTCCTTCATTCTACTCCCTGTCTCTTACTCTTCTCTTTGTGTGCTGAACGTGCTGTTCCTCTGCCTGCCAAAAAACCTATTTGCCCTATTCTAAGCAACTCCCATTGCTACCCCAAATTACTCCTGACCACTCAGGTCCCTTTTTAAATGCCACTTCCCACAGGAAACTAGCCCGGGTTACTCCAGAAAAGCAACAGTCATATTGGGTACTCCCATTCCATCTTCAATTCAATCACCAGGAAGAATGGTACATCTCTCCTGGAACAGTTCAGGGCAGGGGTAACATCTCTTCATTGATGGACCATGGTGCTTATCACACAATACCCGCTCATTTGATCTTTGCTGTCAGATTAAGTTCCGGGCTTTATCGTGGAGGGTTTTTAACAACAGGCCAAGCAAACCAAGAAGCAAGCGCTGGTTTCCCTTTGCAGATCTACATCCTGAGGCAGAAAGAAATTTCCAGCTCTTGAAAGTCATAGGACAGCAGGGATAGAGGCAAATCAAATCCTCCATTCATCTCATTTCTCGTCCCTACGTCACTAAAAACCCCAGTGAGTGGGGGGGGGGGGGGGGAGGCATGACAGGAGAAGGGAATTAGTAATGCAAGGTGGCACAAAAGGAGTCCCATCCACCTGTCACAAAGGCTGACTTCAAATGGACGCGGGACTTTGCACGCCTGAAGAAACACGACTGTTAAGAGACACAGCTGCCACCACACCCAGCTCCCGGGGAGAGCAGCAGAAAACAACAAACTTCTTTTCTCCACAAAGAAGACAAAATGGCAGGAACTGCAACTACCTTCGGAAACCCAAACGCAGGTTTGCTACTCACACTGTCACCAGCGACGTGCTAAGGGACAGGCTCTCTTCCCACCGTTCACTGGATCAGGGATAAGAAACAAAAAGACTACATGAATCAGAAACTACTTAAGACTACTTCCTTTGGGAATCATGTATGAATTATCTGTGTGAAGCCTTAAAAGAAATTGTTAAGCCATGGGCATTTCTTAGCAGGTGCCACGGAAAGGGAAGATACGAGAGCTCCATAGCTGCGTGTCCTTGTCCACATGCTCCTGGGCCCGGGTTATGTCCGTCAGGAAAACCCCAACCCCAGCCCTGGATCAGACTCACCGCTGTCAGCCTTGCAAGCACAGACTCCAAGAAAAAGAAGCCTCAGGACCTCTTCAAAGAGGGCTCTGAATAACAAGACACAGAGCCTACAACCTCTAACCCCAGGGTTCCTTGGGGGGTGGGGTGAAGGTATGGGGAGTGGAAAGAGAGTTAGAAAAAAGAGAAGTGATACTCTCCTGGCCCAGGGGAGATCCTGAAACAGAGAGGGAAAACCAGCATGCATTGCAAATAGACTAGGAAAGAAATGGGATTTGAAGAGATGTGAGCGGGGTAGGGAGAGAAAGGAAAGGCGTAGAAGGGAAGGGCAGGATGTCACCACAAAGATGTTGGAAGAGGCAACAGACTGGTGATCTTTTCTCAAATCCAAAGGCTGCTCGACGCATGCCAATAAACCACTCTACGTAGAAAGCCCGTACAATGGACAGTCCTTTCCATTCAGTAACACGCAGCATTTTACAAATCACCCAGCTGCAACTTTGGGGACCTGAGCATCTAAATTAAAAATGAATAAAAGTGGTTCAAAGAAGCTAAAGGAATGACACCCCCTCCCCCCCCCCCCCAGCCCCAAAGCCTGACTCAGCTGTGGAAAGCTTTAGCACTTTGGAGTTAAGCAAATACTCTGGCATTTCTCCTTCTTTTGACATTCCTAAAGGGGGTGTGGTTGACCCTAAGCCCATTCATTTCCAAGGTTGTACATCTCTCAGCTAAGACTGGCCCCATCTGTTTTGGAGCCAGCCAGCTGTTTATCTCAAAGGAACATATTTGTTGCGGTGTTCAAGCCTTTAACTCTTAGAAGAGAAGAGGAGAGCCAGCATCATACAAGCCAGAATGTTGCCTGCCTTCTTAAATGTGTCAGTTCGCTGAAAAACAAAATTCAAACAAAAAGCACACTCGCAGGGTCCCTGGTTGCCCTGGTCAGGCTCCCTGTTCTTGGATACCTTTCAGGGATGGCCAGTAAAGGGTGACAGTACTTCTAACTTTTCCTTTCCCTAAAGTGTTAAAAAGGAAAAAAAAAAAAAAGTACCCAGGTTTTCCAATTCCGTCTACAAACCGTTAAGTGTGAGTGGCGACTGAGCCTCGGAAAACGGCAGCTCGCTACAGTACCATCGTCAGTGGCGAAAGCCTATCGCGATGTAATTTAAAACACTCACACAAGCACAAATCTATCAGCTCCACTTCCAAACAATCCTGAATCCCGCAGTCGAGAAAACGGGAGGAAAAAAAAAAAAACTTAACAAAAATGCTGCTTCTAGCAGCCTAAGAAAAACCTTTCCCTAGACACGTGAAATATTTCTGACTGGCACCATTAGAGGACACTGTCACCTCAAATCAGCAGGAAAAAAAAGCGAGACAAACGACACAGACATGCAAACATAAAATAAAGCCCTATGAAACTTAAGCGACTCAAGAGAAGCGTGCTCATCTAAAAAAAAAAAAAAACAAACCAGTGTATGCTACTCCAAGACACACAAATGTCCTAAAGAAGTATGACCACCTTAAATCACTGTCTCCATTTCTCCCACACACATCACCCTTTCCCACTCAAACCTCAGCACCGGGGCCGGGGAATGACAGGACTGCAGACCGCCACCTTTGCCCTCCTCGTGGTTTCCAAGTGCACTTCCCAACATCCTTGCCAGCCCAGCCCCCTCTCCCAGCCTCAAAAAGGTTAAAGGGAGGCGAGGAAATTGGCAGGCACCAGTCCTCTGGCGGGGGCAGGTTGCTGGAGTTGTTCTTTGCAGTGACCCAAATTGCACAGAGCGATTTAGCTCTTAGCAGCGCCAGTGAGAACCTCCCGAATCCATACCCCCATTCCCGGCCCCATCTTCCAAAAGAAAGCCTTGAGCATTAAGCGGGAGGAATAACTTGGGAGAACGATTTGAATAAATCACTTCAACTCACCTGGTTTGGGATATTTCTCCCCACCCCAGGCATAAACAGAAATGATATGCGACTGAGTCACGCACGTAAGGGAAGGTGCTGCGGTGTCCTAAGTCCAAGGACTGGAGTCAGTCCCTGCCCTGGTCCTGCTGCTACTCAGGGCTCAGCTGGAGCGAGCGGCAATAGCGAGCCCAGCAGCAGCAGCAACAGCAGCAGCAGCAGTAGGGGGGGTGGGGGGTGGATAGACCGTAGCACAATGAATGCAGTGGGGTTTTGCAATGACATCATCCCTCTGTCCGAGCGGCCCCAATAGCCATGCTCCAGAGCTGTGCATTCTGGGACTTGTAGTCCTCTGAAGTCCGTGAGGGACGCAGAGGCTACAGCCGGAACTACAATGCCCAGGATGCCTCGGTCGGAGCACCCAGACTGAGAGAGACCGGACCGGCCGCCATGTTGAAGCTCGGGAGCTGCTGCGGGCTGAGTCTTCGGGGTCTCGTGGAGCTGAGAGGCGGCGTGGTGAGAATGGTGAGGCAGAGGACGTGGGGGTTGAGAGCCTCGAGCACTGGCTGGGACTGGATGAAGACTCCGCTGGGGATGGGCAGGGCCGTCGGACCGGAGATGGCCGCGCGAGTCGGCGTGAGCCTCCACCAGCCGGGCTTGCACAGGGCCTCACGCCTTTCCCTCAGCTTTTTTACCGGGAGACTCAGGGAGCCGCTTCACTTCCGGGCGTGGAAGACCCCTTAGACCTCGTAGCGGGACAGTCTGGGCGGAAGGGGTCTTTGTTGTGCCACGGGACGGCAGGCCTCGCGCCTCTCAGAAGAGACGCCCGACGATTGGAGCAAAACCTAGGTTGATTTTTTTTTTTGTCGTCTTGCCATTTTTCCCCCTCATTTCCCCCATGCCCTTTTCCTCAGATGTGACCCCCCCACCACACACACACACACACACACACACACACGTCGTTGGTAGATAATTGAGCGCGAAGGATCGTATTTTTGGTCCTAATGAGAAGAAAGGAGCTACTAAAAGAAGTTAGCGTCAAATCTTTCTTAATTCACCCGCGAAAGTAAAAGACATTATAAAAGGGACTGCAAGTGAGCAATCTTACTCAGGACTAATGCTGAGTGAAATGTGCTAAAATACGTAGGCTATTCGGTGTTGATATCCATGGATACCTATCTTGCCTTTTCTTTTTTTGTTAGCTTATACTAACAAAATTATGCAAACTAATGTATTTCATTGTGACATACTCACGCAGATAACGTTAGTTAACGTATTAACCATCCCCTCCCCTTACCCACTTGATACCCACCGTGCATTCAGTGTCTTCTCTGGCGTATTCCAAACAGAAGATTACTTCAAGAACTTTTGAAGCCTTTTGCTCAGCATCCCAAATTATCTGTTTTCCAGTTTCATAACTAAAGCCGTACTGTGTGCTTGTTTTTCAGATTCTGAAGTTGACTGGAAAGATGGCAAATTTTACCTCGTATATGCAGAGAGTCTCTAAAAAGCTAAAAATGCAGATAAGCATAATTTGTGTTGCTTGTTCTCCCACTCTTTTGCATTTACTTTGAAACCCGGGTTTTGTGCAGGAGACGTAACTCTGTGATGAGAACTCACCTAGCATACTCAAGGCCCTGGATTGGATCCCCAGGTTTGTTTACATCAGTGAAAGTACACACTATGCCTCTGTTAGAAGTTAATAAAATTCAACTGGTCGATAGATCTTCCTTTCAAAAGACCAAGCAGACTGGTTTTTAAATTGACAAAACACAATAGGAGTCAAAGGCATCTGCAAATGGTGGCCTTTAAAAACAGTTTGCAAAGATCCAGCTTATGTTCTGTTGTGAGAAGAAGCCAGGGGAGTGGCAAAAGCCATTCTTCCATGAATTCAGCAAGGTAAAAACCTCAAATACTGCTGTTCTACCCGTAATGGTGGTAAGTACTAGAAAGGAAACAGTGTTTACCATTTTTTTCTGCCTCTAGATGCAACTGTAGGGTTTAGGCAAATGAATCTTTGTTTTAAAAGACATTTATATGAGCAATATAATCTTAGTTCGGGTTACTGTCAAAGACTGATTTATTGAAGAAAAATAACATTGTTTGGAAATACTGTGAAAATGGAACCAATATATAATGTAGTGGCTTCTATAATTTGTCATGTGATTGAGTGCTTTGAATTATTTTAGCCTTATAGATAATGGCTATTTAACCATAAATGTGGGGGGGAAAGAAAAACGGTGTATTTTAGAAAGACTCTACAAGTTAAGTCTTAACGGTCACGGAAAAAAACAAATTCTATATTCTTTAGAAACTTAAGGAAAACATTTTACCGGGGAGTACAACTTTCAGACCTCCTCTTTGATTAAGGTGAACATTTGCCACAGTGTACGTTTCCAGAAGGGCACACCATTTGGATTTAGTTATCGTGCGTTTGGATTTTTTTGTTTGTTTGGAAAAATCTTTTAGTTCATTTCAGATAAGAAAACCAATTTTTCATGATTTAGACATTCTTACTTTGCATTGACAACCGTTAGGAAATAAGTCTCAGGTTAGTAGTACCGTAGCTGTTGTGTTTATAACACTTTGGCATAGGTTTTGCTGCTGGATTTCCATATGGCTCAAGGTAAATGCAGCAAATGTCTCTGGGTCAAAATTTAAAGTCTAGCTGGGCAGTGATGGTGCACGCCTCTGATACCAACATCAGAGAGGCAGCGGCAGGTGGTGAGTTCAAAGCCACCCTGGTCTATTGATTGAGTTCCAGGATGGCCAGGGCTACACAAGGCTACCTTGTCTCTAAAAACCAAAAGAAAAAGTATAATGACTTCAAGTTAATTTTAATTAACGACTGCCTATCTTATCTTATTTCTCAGATTTTAACAGGTCTAGACAATTGAAGGGGCACTATAGAACATGTGTTTGTAAGAATATATGCTGAAAAACTATGTGTTCATGAACATAGACATTTCAGGAAATTTAGGTATGCAGAATGTTGTGCTGTAATCAATTATGTAAGTAGGTATGTATTCATAGGTCTTCATTGGAGATGCTCTCTGAATTTGCTGTAAAGAGTAATCCTCTAAATTGTATCTCTTTTATAAACAGCTTAATTGAAATGAAATTCACATACACAGTTTACCTATTATTTAAAGGGTGTAGTCCAATGGGTTTTAGTTTGCTCAGAGTTCCAACCATCAACACACTTATACAAGAAAACTGCACAAAACCATGAGGAAATTGGTGTGGAAGGATTTGGGCTATACAAAGCTTACTATTGTAAGTAAAGTTGACATACAGTACTTCTCAGTTGCAATGCTGCAAGTAAATAGCATGTTCCTGTGTGTAATAAGTGGGCTTTACTAGACTGTTGTGGAGTATAACACTGTCACGGTTGTGAGTCATTAAGAGTGATGCACTGTTTACACTGATGACTGCCTTTTCTGCCTGATTATCTCACTGGGCATTACTTGAGTCCCATGAGAGTTCCATTTTCGGTGTTCATGTTTGTGTATTTGTTTGTTTGGTTTTGCTTTTGCTTTTCAAGGCATGGTCTCTGTCTAACAGCTGTGGCTTTTCTGGAACTCACTTTGTGGACCAAGCTGGCCTCGAACTCAGAGAGACATCCACCTGCCTCTGCTTCCTGAGTGTTGGAATTAAAGGCCTGTGCCACCACCGCCCAGCATTTGTGTCTTTCTAAAGTTCTGCTTTCTTTTTATCTGTTTCTTGCTGCTTTTGAGATAAATTCTAAACATTTTTATTTTCAAGTGGCATTGTTTCCTGTGAAGGCTTACTAAATTTTGTTCTTTTTCATATAAACTGAGTTAACAATAGTGAAAAGTCATCAAATTTTAGGGTTTAAGGAATGAAATGTGGAATAGAGAAAAGTAGATGCCAAATAAAGATACGAGGTTTGGATCTGAAGAAAAAAAATAATGGTAGGGACAGGCAGAATTAAAAGAGTTTAAGATGTTAGAAGCAACAACCTTATTTATTTTTAAAAGGTTTATACGTATGGGTGTTTTGCCTTCGTGTATGTGCTTGGTACCCTTGGAGGTCAGAAGAAGGCATCAGATTCCCCCTTGGAACTAGAGTTATAGGTGGTTTTGAGCCACCATGTGAGTGTTGGGAACTGAAACTGATCCTATGCAAAAGCAGCAAGTGCTTTTAACCACCGAACTTTCTCTATCTCACAACCTATTCAACCCCTGTCTTAGAAGCTAGAGTCCCCTCCTAATCGTTGCACAGTCATCACTTGCTGAAGAAATTTGAGGACATTTAACTTCCACTCTGCTGAGAGACCCAGCCAAGAAGACAAAGGAGAGGAGCTCTGAAATACTTTTGTAATAATTTTCCTATGTAATACTCAACATTTGGCTATGGGGCCTCATGGCACTAGCCTCTAATCCCCCAGTGCCTTTGAGGTAGAAACAGGGAAACTGACTTGGAGCCCAGCCTGGACTGAATAGGGAATTCTGAGCCACGTTGAGTTACATGGTGAATCCCTGTCAAACCACAGAAAAGATTTTCATTGAATTATTTTTCTTTTCATAATTGCCATTTTCAGGTCTTGGCTGCTTATATAACTTGTGCATTTGGGCGGGGAGGGTTGTTTTGTTTTTCCAAGCAGGGTTTCTCCTGGAACTAGCTCTTGTATGCCTGGCTGACCTCAAACTCATAGAGATCTGCCTGCCTCTGCCTCCCAAGTGCTGGGATTACAGGTGTGCGCCACCACCACCTGGCAACTTTTGTGCATTTTTTTATGATGCTATACAAAAACAAAATAAGATTCAAGCAGTGACCGTGAACCTTAGTATTGAGTAGTTCCATCCTAAAGGGTGGTGTTTGCTCTTCATGAGTGTATCGTTAATTTACACCAGCCCCAACTGGGATCCTTAGAACCACTATTGGAGAAAGCACTGCATGCATGGTGAATGGGACTGTTCTCTGCCCACCTGTCAATGTTTTATCAGCAGGAGAAATCCATAATGATTGGATTCATTAGATTGCTTATGTGGGAAATGTGTGGTTGTGCAGATACGAAAAATGCAAAAGGAGAAAAGCAACTGACAGGCAGTATAGGCCTCTGTAGATTTCTTAAATCCATCTCTGACATTTATTAAATTTCACATTGCCTGAAGTCATTCCATTGCTTAGCCTTTTCCTAGAAATTTAACTGAAAGGGTAAATGAAAATGAAAAAAAAATACTGTTTGATATAATGAAAAACTTTTAAAAGTATCAAGGGAAGTTATTCATTACAAAGTCCTGATATGGTAGTCCATCCAGTATGTCCAAATGTAGGTCTGTTTGTCCTCACGAGATCTGTACTTTCTAGTCTGGGTATAACTTGGGTTGTTTCTCAGTAAAGACAATATGGCTGCAGGTTAAATTGTGCTTTAAATAACATGTTTTGAACTACAGAAAAGTTGCAAAGTCATCTAGGTTGACTCCCCAAATCTGAATTTTATGTTCAGACTACTATCTGTTCCTGGCAGTTTTAAGACTGAATCCACCAATCTGCCAATACTTAATCTGTTGGGAGTGAAGGAGACACATTAATAAATGTGACTTGCTTTGAATCTGGAAATCTATGTTCAATGAGCCACTTGGCACCCCACCACGACCTCTTTCATTTTTCACAGACCTGAATCGCTGTGTAGCTCTGGTTGTCCTGGAACTGTCTATGTAAACTAGGCTGGTTCCAAACTCACAGAGATCTATCTTGGCACCATTTTTTCGGCTAAGCTAATTATGGTAACTAATTCATATCTGTGCACTGGTCTAGAACATATTTCAAAGAACTTAAGTAGAAATAAGTTCTTTTGACTGGGTGGTGGCACATGCCTTTAATCCCAATGCACAGGAGGCAGCACAGGTGAGTTTGAGGACAGCCTGGTCTACAGAGTTCCAGAACAAACTCCAGAGCTACAGAGACCCTGTCTCAAAAAAAAAAAACTTACCCTCTCCCCCGCAAAAATTGTTTTAATGTTTTGAGACATGGTCTTTCTGTAACCCTGACTGTTCTGTGTAGATCAGCCTGGCCTCAAACTCAGAGATCTTATCTCTGCTTCCCTAGTGCTAGAGCTAAAGGCATGTACCACCAAGCCTTGCATAAAAATGAGTTCCTAGTGGCTGTCATAGTTGAGGAAAGTAAATGACAGGATTGGCTTAAAAAGCATTTGACAGGTGGGAAACATTGGAGATAGTAAAATATGTATGTTCTTTGAGGTCAAACTACAGTTTGTCAAATCGTCAAATCATTTCTACAGCTGTACGTCATGGTGGTGGGTAAGTGTGCCTATGAGCACCATTTGTCAGCAAAAAGCTGATTTTGTTATTTGGTGGAATTTCACCATAGACAAATCTTAGTTCCATATGACATTGGTTTGTTCATGCTGGGCTTTTATTTGTACAAAAATTACATGCCTACTTCATTGAGTTTTCTAGTGAAGAATATAGTCCAACCACATAAGCAATAAGCAAATGTAGCTTAGATATGAAGGGTATATACTTAGGAAATTTTAAATCATGTGTAATTCTTGTATTACTAAAACAGGTATTGAGTAAGAAGCAGCTCTGTAATATTGATACTTAAAAGTATTAGTTTTTGGTGGACAAGGTTGAAGCATTTGTAAGTTTTTGACTGTAATAATTGAGTACAAGGGTGACCTATGACCCTCTTAGTCATGAGATAGCCTGTTTCAGAGTCAGGGATCCCTTTTTAAATCTGCAGCAGTCCATAGCTCTCTTCAATACAAAAACCTTTTAAATGCATAAGGTACAGTATATTGAATTAGGAAGAAAGTAATCAAAAATCTTCAAATGTAAATCTTTGCAGAGAAATATATGTCTTATGAGCTCCATGATACTTAGCAATGCTTCAGCCAATATCCAGCAGACGTATTTCAGTCCTTAGGCAGTTATTATAAGGTATCACTTTAATTGGGATAGTCATGATTACTGCTAATATTGTAATTTGTTTACATTTTTTTATATAATAAAAAGTACAAATAAGCAAGGTATGGTGGCTCATGCCTTTAATCCCAGCAGTCAGGAGGCAGAGGCAGGAGAATATTCTAGAGGCCAGCCTAGTCTATAAAGTAAGTTCCAGGACAGCCAGGGCTATTACACAGAGAAATCCCGTCTTGAAAAAAATAGTGCAAATAAAAAACCATGCGCTGAAATTTACCAAACTATAAATGTGAACTCTATACACTTAGTTTTTTTTTTTTTTTTAAGAATTTAGTATGTTTTTATTTCCTCTCCTACCAGGTTGTATTCAGATGTGCAATACCTAGCATATCCAAGGCTGGGGTAGTAGGAGAGACATGAGCCTGAGCTATATAGGCCTTATCTGAAGTACATTATAAGATCTCATCACTGAAAGTTTGTGCCTTATCCAATATAATTCAAAATGCTCATAAAATTAATTAAGGGGCCAGGCGGTGGTGGCGCATGCCTTTAATCCCAGCACTCGGGAGGCAGAGGCAGTCGGATCTCTGTGAGTTCGAGGCCAGCCTGGTCTACAAGAGCTAGTTCCAGGACAGGCACCAAAGCTACAGAAAAACCCTGTCTTGAAAAACCAAAAAATAATAATAATAATAATAATAAAATTAATTAAGGGGCTGGAGAGATGACTTAGTAAAGAATAATGGCTGCTCTTCCAGAGAACTCAGATTCAGTTCCCTGCACCCACATGGGGGCTCACTGTGGCTGTATATGACATAATGTACAGATACATATGCACATAGTAAAAAAAATCTTTTTAAAAAATGCATGAATTTAGGAAATCTTTATGTTGGAATAATCCGTTTGTTTCTTACAGATTCAGTACAAGTGTCTGGAGAATGTGAGCTTGGCTGTATCTAGTGCACCTGATACATGCATACGAAGAACTTAGTAACACAAGTAAATAGAAGAGCAATATTAGAGAATGTTAAATCCAAGGAGCATCATGGAAACCATACGTAGGATTATTCTGCTCAGTAAGTAAGCACTGGAGTTGTTCCTAATGTGAGACTGTCTTAGCATCCTAAGGTTACATTCTCAACAGAAATAAAATACTGACATCATATGTATTTAGGTATCTTTTTCATTACTTGTTACAGGAATTAACCATAGTTTTGAAGTTTAAGCTCAAATCCAGGCCATCCAGGTGACTGAGCAGGTAAACCGAACTTGAGTTTGAACCCCAAAACCCAAGGGGGAGCTCCTGAAAGCTGTCTTCTGACCTTGTGTCTGCCAGCCTGAACTTCCGCACATACACATTATACACTTAACAATTTTTTTAGAAGTCTACAGAGTTCCAGGACAGGCTCCAAAGCTACACAGAGAGAAACCCTGTCTCGAAAAACGAAACAAAAAGAACAAGTCTGCCTGGCCATAGAGAAGGTGAGACTACAGCTGGTTGGTTCAACCTAAGGTCCACTGCATAGGAACTCCTGCTCAAGAGGAGCAAAATGAAAGTTACATTCTTGAGTGTTTCAACTCTACACATATCCCAAAGAGGTGCAGCAACCATTGTCAACAGATTTGGTGAAAAGAGTTCTGTTTAAAGCACACCACCTGTGCGTGATTTCATAAATGTATCAGGCCTTGGGAAATTTGAGTTCAGAGCTGTTTTGTAGATCCCAAGATCGTGTCTCAGAAAGCAAATCCTTCTGGCTGGGATTAAAGGTATGTATCATTCCTTGCTTAAAACTGCATACTATGTAGAGTTTAAATGTATTTAAATACTTAAGTTGCAATAATTTTCTCTATTTTTGCCTTCACAGTGTAATCATCCTTCAACTCCAAGAAAAGTAGTTCCAAGTTTTGGAAGTTTGTACTTAATGCCTCACAATTCAATAGTTCTTCTTCCACACAAATGTTTTCACATGCTTGTCCAGAAGAAAATGCAGTTTAGGCAGAAACATTCTAATTTAGACAAAGAAAATAATAATAATAAAGGCAAAGAAGATTCCCCACTCCTTGATCCACATAGGGAGCCCTAGACCAGTGTCAAATTGGTGTTTGAAGAAGATAGAATATCATTCAACAAGAAAATTGAGCAACTGACAGTAAAACCTGACCCTGTCAGTACTTACTGTAAGTGATCCTTAGTAACAAGCACTGATTGCCATGATGCCCGGTGCCAGGGTGGGTGGGCACATTATAATACATACATGGACACTTCCTTTCTGACCTCAAAGATACTGAATGCTGCATTGTTACTGATCCTAATTACATATGATAAAAGACTTATATTTCCCTTTCAGACCATATGGTACTGAAAATACAGAAGATAAGTCACATTTTCAGAATAGCTTGACTTCTGGAGCAAAAGTCTTAAATTGTAGCCCAGGTTAGCCTCAAACTTGGCCATCCATCTGCATTTGCTAGTACTTTTTTAAAAAAATAGTTTACTTTTTATGTGTATATGTGCTGATGCTGGAGGATGCCAGAATTCTCCCCGGAATTTAAGGTACTATGAGACCCAAACTCCAGCCCACTGCTAGAACAGCATTCACTCTTACCCAGTGGACCATCTTGCCAGCTCCTTGAGATCCTAATTTTTACTTTTAGTTCATTCCATCTATATGGTACTACCTTTTTTTCCTTCTTGAACCCACTTCCACGCAGTCTTTATGACAGATCTCAATTTGCCCAGATTATTATTTAGAATCTTGTTTCAGCCTTGCAGGAGATGGAATTACAGGCTGCCATGCCATTTTAAAAATACTTAGGTGGCAGCACCTGGGAAGAAGATGCGGTGGACCTCTAAATTCAAGGCCAGCTTCATCTACACAGAGAGTCCCAAAACAGCCAGAGCTGCATAACCTTAAACAATTTTTTAAAAGTCTAGGAACAAAGCCAGGCAGCGGTGGTGCACACCTTTAATCCCAGCACTTAGGAGGCAGAAGCAGGCAGATCTCTGTGAGTTCAAAACCAGCCTGGTCTACAAGAGCTAGTTCCAGGACAGGCTCCAAAGCTACAGAGAAACCCTGTCTCAAGCAAAAAAAAAAAAAAAAACTTGGCCAGGAAATTGTAGTCTGCTAATTGGAAACTAATAGAGGTAGAAAGATTACTTTGCAATAGCAAAGCAGTTTTGAATTCTAGCCCCTTTTTCTTTCGCTGTAGCATGATTTGTTCACACACTAGCAAGCAGCATGTAGCAGACAGATAGTGTTGAAACACGAATAAGCCCTGTGAGGCAAGTACAGAGTTGTGTCATTGTTTAATGCTCATGTTAAATTACAGAACTGATAGGTTGCTTAATTTTTTTAATATTTGGCTTATCACATTTTACAATTTGAGATTTTTGTGCGAGAGCTTTTTGAGACCAGGAAATGCTATATATTTCTATCTTTTGGGCGGGATGGGAGACTCAATCCCTGATTCCCAGTGTGACAGAACTATCTTACAACAAGGACAAGTAGGATTAGGAGGTTGAGATACAGGCATTAGGATTATTGAGATCAGTTAAGAGCATGTGCCCTTGCAGAGATCCCAGTGCCTATATCCAAGGTCTCATAACTGCCTGTAATTACAGTTCCAGAAGACCTAACACCCTCTTGCTTCCATGAGCCTCTGCATGTAATACACACGTACTCAGGTGTAAACAAAACTAAATATGTGTTATATTTGTCATCTACTGAGTACCATGACTCTAAAAATAATACAGTAACAAGTATATCTTATAAAGATAAGTCTGCAAAATATCTCTAGAAAGAGTAAATGGAAAGGAGTTCTGCCCTCAATTGATATTTATGTTTTTAAAGCTGAATGCCTGTGTTCCCGGTCCCCACAGAGGTCAGAAAAGGTTGGTAGATTCCCTGGAACTGGAGTTCTGGATGGTTGTAAGCACCCAGATGAGTGCTGGGAACTGAAACCGAGGAGTAGCATGTCCTCTTAACCTCCTATCCCCAAATTTCAATTTTGTTTTCTTTGAGACGGTTTCTCTCTGTCCTAGCTGTCCTGGAACTGTTTTTGTAGACTGGTCTGTCCTTGAACTCACAGAGTTCTACCTCCTGAGTTCTGGGGTTAAGGACATGTACCACCACCGCTCGGCTAATTTTAATTTTGTTTTTATGGCAGGGTTTCTCTGTAGCTTTGGAGTCTGCCCTGAAACTAACTCTTGTAGACCAGTCTGGCTTTGAACTCGTAGAGATCTGCCTGCCTCTGCCTCCTGAATGCTGGCGTTAAAGCATGCATCACCACCGCCTAGCTCCAGCCTTAAAATTTTTTAATGAGGGCTGGGGGAATAGTGTGATGATACCATGCATATATGCAAGGCTCTGGGTTTGATCTTCAAAAGGTTACATCCATTGGCTGGCCTTTAACTCGGATCTACCTGCTTTAGTTTCTTTTTTTTTAATATTTATTTATTTATTATGCATACAATATTCTGTCTGTGTGTATGTCTGCAGTCCAGAAGAGGGCACCAGACCTCATTACAGATGGTTGTGAGCCACCATGTGGTTGCCGGGAATTGAACTCGGGACCTTTGGAAGAGCAGGCAATGCTCTTAACCACTGAGCCATCCCTCCAGCCCCCCTGCTTTAGTTTCTTGCATGCTGGAATTAAAGCATATGCCACCCAGTCTAGTAAGGTTTTCTATTATAGCCCAGCAATATGAAAGAATAGAAGTATCTGCATTCCTTAATTCTACCATTAACGTTCAACTAATTGTGCAAGTAGAGGGTTCTATGATCAAATTCTATATAACCTTTCCCTCTGCCCTCTTGTCTACTTACATTTGGGAACTTGGGGCTGTATCTGGTAGTTGGTAGTGTTTGCCTCATATGCACAAAGCCCTGTATTTTGTCTCACCACTGCAATAAATCATACCTGTAACTCTAACATAAAGACAGGTAAATCGCCTTTCTGTCTCTCTCCCTTCTCCCCACTTCCTCCACCTCTGTTTCTCTCTCTCTATGCTCTTCCCCCTTCTCCCCTTTCCCCTTCCCTTCCATAACCCACTAAATACCCACTTTTTCTGCAAAAAAAAAAAAAAAGGCAAATCAGAAGTTTGAAGTCTTACTTACTTACTTACCTACTTATTGAATTCAGAAGCCAGCCTGAAATCCTGTTTTTGTTGTTGTTGTTGCTTTAAAAAAAAAAAAACTGCAGTGGAATGCATCTGGAAACTAAACCATTTTACATTCCCTTCAGAGCTCAATATGTTTTTTGTGCCAAATGGTTGTGGCACACGCCTTTTATCCCAGCACTCAGGAGGCAGAGGGCGGCAGATCTCTGGGAGTTCGAAGTCAGCCAGGTCTGCAAGAGCTAGTTCCAGGACAGGCTCCAGAGCCACAGAGAATCCCTGTCTCAAAAAACAAAAAAAAAAAAAGTTTCTTCAGGAAATATTCTTTGGGTATCCACTAGGTGTCATATAACACAAAGACACCAAGATAAGCAGGTATCCAGTAAGAACACCTAAGAGCCTTACAAAGATAAAAATAGTTATGTAGGTCAAAAGAAAGTTGTATAAGTGCTATATTGTCAGTGGTAGAACAATTTTATACTGTGATCATCAATATCAAACCAAATGCATGCTGGGCTAAGTTATATAAAAAGGCTTAAAGACAAGTCAGCCTGGTGATGGTGGTGCACGCATTTAGGCAGAGGCAGGTGGATCTCTGAGTTCAAGGCCAGCCTGGTCTACAAAGTGAGTTCCAAGACAACCAGAGCTAAACAGTGAAGTGACTTGACAGTACTGTGAGTAGGAAGCTGAGAATAATAAACTCAAGTGTCCATGCAGGATGCTGGGAGTAAAACCTACACTTTTTCCTTATTTGGTCCAGTTTTCCTTGCTTAGGAGCTTGAGGCTCTACCCGCTCTACTATGTTAAATTTTAGTCTTAATTCTCATCTCTTTCCTGGGTCTTGCTACTAATTTGTCCCTTCCCTTGTTGATACCAACT